CTCTGGGCGCGGGCCGCGGCGAGGAGGCGCTCGAGGGCGCCGCGTTGCTCCTCGAGGGTGGCCACGTTGCGGCCCTGCCGCGCCAGCAGCCCCTCGTAGCGCTCCTCCAGCGCCTGCAGCAGCAGGACCTGCTCCCCGATGAGGAACTGGTGCAGCAGCTCGAAGTCCGACTCCAGCTCCTTGATCTCCAGCTTCATCTTGTCCTGCGGGAAGCGGGAACGGCGGGGGAAAGGGTCAGCGCGAAAACGCGGCCAAAACGCGGCCAAAACGCGGCCAAAATGCCCGGTTTTACCCTCAGTTCCGTGATTTTCTCCTCCTCGCTGGATTTCTGTTTCAGCACCGCGTCCAGTTTCTTCTTCAGGGGCTCCAGGTGGCTCTGGAGTTTGTTCTGAGAGGGAAAAAGGGAGGGAAAAGGGATTTGGGAATCCTGTTTTGCCCTGTTTTGCTCTGGCTCCACCTGAGCGCTTCCTGGTCCCCTTGGGACATCCCAGGAGTGAATCCTGGTCCCCTTGGGAAATCCCGGGAGCAGCTCCTGGTCCCCCAGGAGGCTCCTGATCCCCCTGGGACATCCCAGGAGCAGCTCCTTGTCCCCCCAGGTGGCTCCTGATCCCCCCAGGACATCCAAGGAGTGAATCCTGATCCCTCAGGACATCCCGGGAGCAGCTCCCAGTCCCCCAGGAGGCTCCTGGTCCCCCTGGGACATCCAAGGAGTGAATCCTGATCCCTCAGGACATCCCGGGAGCAGCTCCCGGTCCCCCAGGAGGCTCCTGGTCCCCCTGGGACATCCAAGGAGTGAATCCTGATCCCTCAGGTGGCTCCCGGTCCCCCCAGGACATCCCGGGAACGGCTCCTGGTCTCCCCAGGTGGCTCCTGATCCCCCTGGGACATCCTGGGAGTGGATCCTGGACCCCCAGGACGTTCTGGGAGCGGATCCTGGTTCCCCTGGGACATCCCAGGAGTGAATCCTGATCCCCCAGGTGGCTCCTTGTTCCCTGGGACATCCCAGGAGCGAATCCTGATTCCCCCAGGATATCCCAGGAGCGGCTCCTGGTACCCCAGGACATCCTGGGAGCAGCTCCCGGTCCCCCAGGAGGCTCCTGGTCCCCCTGGGACATCCAAGGAGTGAATCCTGATCCCTCAGGTGGCTCCCAGTCCCCCCAGGACATCCCGGGAACGGGAGCAGCTCCGTCCTCTAGGTGGCTCCTGATCCCCCTGGGACATCCCAGGAGTGAATCCTGGGTCCCTCAGGTGGCTCCTTGTTCCTTGGGACATCCCAGGAGCAAAACCTGGTCCCCCAGGAAATCCCGGGAGCGGCTCCCTGTCCCCTCAGGTGGCTCCTGATCCCCCTGGGACATCCCGGGAGCGGCTCCCAGACTCCCCAGGTGGCTCCTGATCCCCCTGGGACATCCCAGGAGCGAATCCTGGTCCCCCAGGTGGCTTCTTGTCCCCCCAGAACATCCCGGGAGCAGCTCCTGGTCCCTCCAGGTGGCTCCTGGTCCCCCTGGGACATCCCAGGAGTGAATCCTGATCCCCAAGGTGGCTCCTTGTTCCCTGGGACATCCCAGGAGTGAATCCTGGTCCCTTGGGACATCCCAGGAGCAGCTCCTGCTCCCCCTAGATGACTCCTGGTCCCCCAGGATATCCCAGGAGCGGCTCCTGGTCCCCCAGGACATCCTGGGAGTGGATCCTGGTCCCCCCGGGTGGCTCCTGGTCCCCCAGAATATCCCAGGAGTGAATCCTGATCCCCCAGGGGGCTCCTTGTTCCCTGGGACATCCCAGGAGTGAATCCTGATCCCCAAAGTGGCTCCTTATTCCCTCGGACATCCCAGGAGCAAATCCTGATCCCCCTGGGACATCCCAGGAGTGAATCCTGGTCCCCCCAGGTGGCTCCTGATCCCCTGGGACATCCTGGGAGTGGAACCTCGTCCCCCCAGGTGGCTCCTGGTCCCCGCAGTGGCTCCTGGTCCCCGCAGTGGCTCCTGGTCCCCGCAGTGGCTCCTGGTCCCCGCAGTGGCTCCTGGTCCCCGCAGTGGCTCCTGGTCCCCGCAGTGGCTCCTGGTCCCCGCAGTGGCTCCTGGTCCCCGCAGTGGCTCCTGGTCCCCGCAGTGGCTCCTGGTCCCCGCAGTGGCTCCTGGTCCCCGCAGTGGCTCCTGGTCCCCGCAGTGGCTCCTGGTCCCCGCAGTGGCTCCTGGTCCCCGCAGTGGCTCCTGGTCCCCGCAGTGGCTCCTGGTCCCCGCAGTGGCTCCTGGTCCCCGCAGTGGCTCCTGGTCCCCGCAGTGGCTCCTGGTCCCCGCAGTGGCTCCTGGTCCCCGCAGTGGCTCCTGGTCCCCGCAGTGGCTCCTGGTCCCCGCAGTGGCTCCTGGTCCCCGCAGTGGCTCCTGGTCCCCGCAGTGGCTCCTGGTCCCCGCAGTGGCTCCTGGTCCCCGCAGTGGCTCCTGGTCCCCGCAGTGGCTCCTGGTCCCCGCAGTGGCTCCTGGTCCCCGCAGTGGCTCCTGGTCCCCGCAGTGGCTCCTGGTCCCCGCAGTGGCTCCTGGTCCCCGCAGTGGCTCCTGGTCCCCGCAGTGGCTCCTGGTCCCCGCAGTGGCTCCTGGTCCCCGCAGTGGCTCCTGGTCCCCGCAGTGGCTCCTGGTCCCCGCAGTGGCTCCTGGTCCCCGCAGTGGCTCCTGGTCCCCGCAGTGGCTCCTGGTCCCCGCAGTGGCTCCTGGTCCCCGCAGTGGCTCCTGGTCCCCGCAGTGGCTCCTGGTCCCCGCAGTGGCTCCTGGTCCCCGCAGTGGCTCCTGGTCCCCGCAGTGGCTCCTGGTCCCCGCAGTGGCTCCTGGTCCCCGCAGTGGCTCCTGGTCCCCGCAGTGGCTCCTGGTCCCCGCAGTGGCTCCTGGTCCCCGCAGTGGCTCCTGGTCCCCCCAGGCGCCCCCTTATCCCCTCGTGCAGCTCCCGGTCCCCCCGGCACCCCCCTATCCGCATCCCTCCGCCCTTCCCGGCGTTCCCGTACCTTGTAGTCCTGCACCACCTCCTCGAGGGGCACCACGCTGTGGTGCTTGTGGCTCCGCGCCTCGCGGCACACCACGCAGATGGCCTCCTCGTCCACCTCGCAGAAGAGCTTCAAGGGCTCCTGGTGCTTCTCGCACAGCTCCGGGCAGCCCCGGCTTCCCGCTCCGGAGGCGCTCGGGGCCCCGGACGCCGGCCCTCCAAGGAGTCCAGGATGTCTCTTCCAAGATCTCCAGGATCTGTGCGACATTTGTTCCAACATCTCCAGGGTTTTTCTTCCAAGATCTCTGGGACATTTGCTCCAAGATCTCCAAAGCATTTGCTCCAAGGAGTCCAGGATGTCTCTTCCAAGATCTCCAGGATCTGTGCGACATTTGTTCCAACATCTCCAGGGTTTTTCTTCCAAGATCTCTGGGACATTTGCTCCAAGATCTCCAAAGCATTTGCTCCAAGGAGTCCAGGATGTCTCTTCCAAGATCTCCAGGATCTGTGCGACATTTGTTCCAACATCTCCAGGGTTTTTCTTCCAAGATCTCTGGGACATTTGCTCCAAGATCTCCAAAGCATTTGCTCCAAGGAGTCCAGGATGTCTCTTCCAAGATCTCCAGGATCTGTGCGACATTTGTTCCAACATCTCCAGGGTTTTTCTTCCAAGATCTCTGGGACATTTGCTCCAAGATCTCCAAAGCATTTGCTCCAAGGAGTCCAGGATGTCTCTTCCAAGATCTCCAGGATCTGTGCGACATTTGTTCCAACATCTCCAGGGTTTTTCTTCCAAGATCTCTGGGACATTTGCTCCAAGATCTCCAAAGCATTTGCTCCAAGGAGTCCAGGATGTCTCTTCCAAGATCTCCAGGATCTGTGCGACATTTGTTCCAACATCTCCAGGGTTTTTCTTCCAAGATCTCTGGGACATTTGCTCCAAGATCTCCAAAGCATTTGCTCCAAGGAGTCCAGGATGTCTCTTCCAAGATCTCCAGGATCTGTGCGACATTTGTTCCAACATCTCCAGGGTTTTTCTTCCAAGATCTCTGGGACATTTGCTCCAAGATCTCCAAAGCATTTGCTCCAAGGAGTCCAGGATGTCTCTTCCAAGATCTCCAGGATCTGTGCGACATTTGTTCCAACATCTCCAGGGTTTTTCTTCCAAGATCTCTGGGACATTTGCTCCAAGATCTCCAAAGCATTTGCTCCAAGGAGTCCAGGATGTCTCTTCCAAGATCTCCAGGATCTGTGCGACATTTGTTCCAACATCTCCAGGGTTTTTCTTCCAAGATCTCTGGGACATTTGCTCCAAGATCTCCAAAGCATTTGCTCCAAGGAGTCCAGGATGTCTCTTCCAAGATCTCCAGGATCTGTGCGACATTTGTTCCAACATCTCCAGGGTTTTTCTTCCAAGATCTCTGGGACATTTGCTCCAAGATCTCCAAAGCATTTGCTCCAAGGAGTCCAGGATGTCTCTTCCAAGATCTCCAGGATCTGTGCGACATTTGTTCCAACATCTCCAGGGTTTTTCTTCCAAGATCTCTGGGACATTTGCTCCAAGATCTCTGGGACGTTTGCTCCAGGGTCTCTGGGACATTTGCTACAAGATCTCCAGGGCTTTTCCTCCAAGATCTCCGGGACATTTGCTCCAAGATCTTCAAGGTCTCTGGAACGTTTGCTCCAAGGTCTCCAAGGCGTTTGCTCCAAGGTCTTTGGAACATCTGCTCCAAAATCTGCTGGGCTTTTGCTCCAGGGTTTCCAGTGCTTTTTCCCTAAGATCTGTAGGGCTTTTGCTCCAGGGTCTCCAGGTCTTTTATTCCAAAGTCTCCATGGATTTTGTTCCATCCTCCTGCAGAGCAGGTGCAGAGAATTGGGTACACTGCGTTTCTGTAGTGTAGTGGTTATCACGTTCGCCTCACACGCGAAAGGTCCCCGGTTCGAAACCGGGCAGAAACACTCACTCTTTTCCCATTTTTTTCCTTTATTTGTATTTTTTTCCCCGCTTTTCGGGGTTTGTCAGGGCCGGCGCACGCTCCCTGCACTGCAACCCGCCGCTCTTAGGTAATTAGCGCTAATTAGCGGCTGTCCCCGCGCAGTGACAGGACCTGACAGGACCCAGTGGCCAAAACGTATCTATAAGCAGCCCGGCTAGCTCAGTCGGTAGAGCATGAGACTCTTAATCTCAGGGTCGTGGGTTCGAGCCCCACGTTGGGCGCTTAGCTCTTTTTTTTCCCCCCCACAAAAATTGCTTTAAACCCCCAAAACAGCCGGATTCCTGCCGAAAGCAACCAAATCCGCCTCCAAAACATCCCGATTCCGCCCTAAAACACCTATATGTTTTCTATACACCCTAAGCCACACAGATCTCGAAGGCAGCAAGTCCCAAACACCCTTGAGGCTGTCCTGGATGTCTGTCCCCTTCTCCAAGCCAGTTTGGAGACCAAAAGGGTGGGATTTGTTTCCTTCCCAAGGCTCTGTCTTCCTCCTCCTCTTCCTTCTCCCTCTCTTTCTCTTTCTCCTCCTCCTCCTTTTCCTCTCCTCCTTGTCCTCCTCCTCCTTCTCCTCCTCCTTCTTCTCCCTCCTTCTCCTTCTTCCCCTCTCCTCCTCCTTCTTCCCCTCTCCTCCTTCTTCTCCTTCTTTCTCTCCTCCTCTTCCTCCTTCCTCTCCTCCACCTCCTTCTCCTCCTTCTTCTCCCCCTCCTCCTCCTTCTTCTCCTCTCCTCCTCCTCCTCCTTTCTCTCTCTCCTCCTTTTTCTCCTTCTTTTTCTCTCTCTCCTCCTCCTTTTTCTCCTCCTCCTTCTTTTTTTCTCTCTCTCCTCCTCCTCTTCCCTCTCCTCCTCCTCCTTTTTCTCTCCTCCTCCTTTTTCTCTCCTCCTCCTTTTTCTCCTTCTTCTCCTCTCCTCCTTCTTTCTCTCTCTCCTCCTCCTCCTCCTTCTTTCTCTCTCTCTCCTCCTCCTCCTTTCTTTCTCTCCTCCTCTGCCTTCTTTCTTTCTCTCCTCCTCCTTTTTCTCCTTCTCTTTCTTTCTCTCCTCCTCCTTTTTCTCCTTTTTTCCCTCTCTCCTCCTCCTTTTTCTCCTCCTCCTCCTTCTTTTTCTCTCTCTCCTCCTCATTTTTCTCCTCCTCCTTCTTTTTCTCTCTCTCTCCTCCTCATTTTTCTCTTCCTCCTTCTTTTTTTTCTCTCTCTCTTCCTCCTCCTTCTCCCTCTCCTCCTCCTCTTCCTTCTCCCTCCTTTTCTCTCCTCCTCCTCCTCCTTTCTTCTCCTCCTCCTCCTCCTTTCTCCTTTCTTCTTCTCCTCCTCCTTTTTCTCTCCTTCTATTTCTCCTCCTCCTCCTTCTATTTCTCCTCCTCCTCCTCCTATTTCTCCTCCTCCTACTCCTCCTTCTCCTTCCCTCTCTCCTCCTCCTTCTTCTTCTCCTCCTCCTTCTCCTCCTGGTCCATGAAGCTCCCGGGACCATGGCCTCTTGGAGCCCCATAGACACCCTGCACAGCGAAGCCTCCTGCCCCATCTGCCTGGGGCTCTTCCAGGACCCCGTCTCCATCCACTGCGGCCACAACTTATGCCGCGGCTGCATCTCCCGCTGCTGGGAATGGTCGGGCCCTTTCTCCTGCCCCGGGTGCCGGGAAGCGGCTCCGGAGCGGAGTTTCCGACCGAGCCGGGAGCTGGGCAGCATCGCGCGCGTCGCGGCGCGGATGGGCGCGAAGGCGACGTGTCCCGAGCACCAGGAACCCCAAAAACTCTTCTGCAAGGTGGAATTGAGCCCCATCTGCGTGGTGTGCGAGCGCTCCCGGGCCCACCGCTTCCACGCCGTGGTGCCCGTGGAAGAGGCCGCCCAGGAATACAAGGTACGGAATTGCGGGAAGCGCTTCTTTTCCCAGGGAGCCAAACGGGAAGCGCTTCTTTTCCGGGATGCCCCTTTGGGCCTTTTCCAAGAGCATCTTCTCGCTCAGGAAGAAATCCAGGCCCGTCTGCAGGCGCTCAAGGAGGAGCGGGGAAAATTCCTGGAAAGCAGGAGATCCGGGAAGACCGGGAGCTCCTATTTGGTAGGTGCCTTCGATGGGAGCCTCTCCCCGTGCTTCCGCAGTGAGTTTTGAGGCTAAACGGGGGTGATTTGGTTAATCCCGAGCCTTGCCTCGCTCCAAGGAGGAGCAGACCCTTGGAGCCTGCAGGAAGAGAGCGGGAGGACCGAAATATCCCATTCCCTCCTATCCCAACTTTCCTTGCTTATATATTGGAGCGGGACGGCTCCGACTCCCTTCCCAGGGTGTTTTGCAATTTGCAACCTTGTCCTTATCTACCAAGGCAGACGGAGCCTGCGATCCCTGTGCCGGAGAGATAATATTGTTGGATGGGGAACGACTTGGAGCTCATCCCAAAGCTCATAGGGAGAGCTGGGCCGCACTTGGATTCACTTTGAGGCTTCCCCTCCCCAGAAATTCCCAGTATTATCCAAGTTTCTGCTGTTCGGAGGAGTCTCCTGTTGCTCCTCCATCCCTTTGGTCTCCATTTCTGGTCCCGATAGGAGAAAACCAAAGAGGAAGGGAAGAAGATTGTGGATGAATTCGAGCGTTTGTGCCAGTTTTTGAAGGAGCAGGAGCATCTCCTCCTTTCCCAGCTGGAAGACCTGGATTGGGCCATCATGAAGGTCCAGGAAGAGGCCGACAACAAGATCATGGAGGATGTGTCCCACCTGGACACCCTGATCTGGGAGATGGAGGGGAAATTCCAGCAGCCCCCAAGCGAATTCCTGCAGGTGAGAGCCCCAAGATCCAGGTTAGTGGGAGAAGCAGGAATTGAGCGGCCGGATGAGACCAGGGCGCGCAAATTCCCTGCTCTGTTCCTGCATTGCTGCAAACACGACGCCATCGGTGGGGTCTTCCTCTGCTATCGCAACGCTGTAAAAACACATCATTTTTGTAAAAAAAAAGGATAATATTCCCTATTGCTCTTCCCTAACTCCCTCTTTTCTCTCCTTCTCTCCCCTTCTAGGAAATCCGAGGTCTCCTGAACAGGTTTGTGGCCCCTTTGCACTTTGGGATGAACTTTGGGTCCTCCATGTGGGATCCCAAGGTTGGATCCCAAGCTGGAATCACTAGCTGTCCCCTTGTGGCATTTTGGGTTCAAATCCCCCCATTTGGTGACTTAATGGGGACCAAGCACTGAGGAATCAGCTGGATCACACGAATTTTGCTCCCTGCAGCCTGGAGAAGCTGAAATTCCACCCTCCAATGGAGATTTCCCCAGAATTGGAAAGACGATTGGAAGAATTTGTCCGGAAAAACATCCTCGTTGGATACACGCTGAGGAAATGCCAAGGTATCCAGCGGGATTGGGAGAGGGCACGTTGCTTCCCAAATCCAGGAGAACGAATAAATGCAGCTAAACTTACAATTTGGGATAGTTTTCCCCAAGGAAAATGAGTTGGTTGGGAAGCAGAGATGAGTCCCCTCTTCCTTCCCCTGTTTATCCCATGGGAAAACAAATGGAAAAGGAGCTGATCCCGTGATATCTCTCTCCTCTCTAGACAGCCTGATGTTCCAGTTGCAAGAGCCAAGTAAGTCATCCCGGGAATGGCAGGGGATGGGAATTCCGCCTCATGGAAGAGGCAAAATCCAAGGAAAAGGGGTTCCCTGCATTAAGGAAAGGGAAAGATGGGGCGGGTGGCCCTGGTTTGATGCTCCTGGTGTCCTGTAAACCCAAATTGGCTCCTCTGGGGACACTGGAAGGGAAGATCCAAGAGCTCGAGGTGCATTTGTGCCTCCCCCATTCCCTTTCCATGGGGTTTTCCCTTTCCCAAATCCCAAAAGCTGGAGAATCCCAAAGCTGGAGCCGGAGGAGCCTCCCAACCATCTCCCAGGGTTCCGCCCACCTCATTCCCGCTTCCGTCTCCAGCCAAGGTCACCCTGGATCCGTCCACAGCTCATCCCAACCTCCGCATCTCCGAGGACCTGAAGGAAGCCCGGGGCCACCTGGCTCCTCGGGAGCTTCCCGACAACCCGGAGAGATTCGACTTCGAGCCCTGCGTCCTGGCCCGCGAGGGCTTCCTGGCGGGAAGACATTTTTGGGAAGTCGAGGTGGATCCGGGGGGCGTTTGGGCCTTGGGGGTGGCCTGTGGGTCGGTGAAGAGGAAGGGTCCCCTCGGATTGAGCCCCAAGGACGGGATTTGGGCGCTGGAAGCGTTTCATTCCCTAACATCCCCCCGCGCCAACGTGCGCCTCAGCCCCCTTCCCAAGCGGATCCGGGTCTCCCTGGATTACGACGGGGGCCGGGTGGCGTTTTTCAGCCCGGAGGCCGCGTCTCCCATCTTGGCTTACGCCGGAGCGTCGTTCGGTGGCGAGAGGATGTTCCCGTGGTTCAAGATGGGAATTGGGGCCCGTTTGCAAGAAATCGGCCAACGGGCGCCCGCTGAGGACTGGTCCGGGGCTGGGAGGCTGATGTCCCCCCTGGATTGGGTGGGATTCGGGTCTCCGCTGAGGATCTGTCCTTGAGGAGCCCCTCAGGAAGGTCCTATGATCCAGGGTGGCATCCAGGGCTTCTTGGTACACCGTAATGCTGGAGCAAGTAGACAAAACTGGAGCTTATTCCCATGTCCCCATGCAGGGACATCCCTGGGGACACCTCTTCTTCATTGCAACCAATGGACCGAATCCTCACGTTGAGTTTATGGCTCTTCCCAGTGTGTTTTGTTCCCATGTTCTTCTGCACAAGGACATGTCCTTTCTCCATAAATAACAACGCTTGGTTTGTGTTGGAGAGTTGCTTTCCCCTTCTGCCTGTATTTCTGCTATTTATTTTAAGTAAAAAAGCCCATTTTTATCTTCTTGCACCTCTCTGGAGGGTTATTTATCTGGTATCTATTCAAGAGGTAGGTGCATCTCACCTCTTCATCATCTCCAGCCCTTAGGACCACAAAACTCCTCCAAAAAGAGGTTTTCCACCCTATTATACATCTCCTCCTTGCCTCCAAAATCCTATTTCTCCCTGTTGACCGTCCAGGATTGGGTGATTAAGCTTAATAGGTTTTAATCGCTTAATAGAAATTGCTGGAGGGGGGAGAAGCTGGAAGGATGGGGTGAAATGGCCCTGCCAGCTGAATTCACCTGAACGGATTCCTGGAAAAACTCTGTTTTCTTCTGAGAAAGCCCCAAAGAGGAAGAGGCACCACTGAAATAAATCAGCGTTATCAATTACAGAACCAAGAAGGGGAACTAAAAGAGAGAACAGGAGGAAGTTGAGTGCAGAAAAAGAAAATAAAAAATGTACCCCGTGACCAAGCCCCATTCCAATGTCCCCACCAAAAGCACGAGGATCCATCCCTCCTATCGCTCTTGAGAAATGGGTGCGATAAGAAGCCTAAAAGGCTTCTTTTTTGGCCCAATAAAGTAACCAAAGGTCTACAGAAAGGTTTGCATGAGACTCTACTCATGACCATGACATGAGACTCTACTTGTGACCATGACTCACTGTGCACCTTCCCTTCATTTTTTGAGGGTTAAGAATAGTCTTTCTGCTCCAAGAAGAGCATCTGGGATGCTCCTCCTGGTCCACCATCCCAGCACCATCCCAGCTCCAAGAGCGGGATCTCCATCCAGCCAAGAGGTTCTGCCCCCCCTCCCTGCAGCCAATGGGACCCAGTTCGCCCTGACCTTGTCACCAACATCCTTGAGACGCCAAGAGCCACATCACCCTATCCATAGGGGACCACGCTCTTTGCACCACCCCATGAACCATGGAGAGATCCATGATGCTCTTGCATCTTTCCTTATCCGCTGAAAAACCAGACAGGGAAGACCATTCCGGCATGGAAATCTTTATATCCCATTGAAGTCTGCAGAGCCAGGCTGGCCGCAGACCAACACAAGACCCCGTTGGGCCAAGGGGCACCCACTGATGTCCCCAAAATAGGTGACTACAGACCCATGTTGATGCTTAATCCTATGGGATAACAGAATTGGGGGAGAGGCCAAGCGGGAATGTGGCAGCATCCTTCAGTCCTTCAGAAAGTAGGAAGAGCCAAGCTGGGGACAAGGATGACATTTGTTTGGTGGGAAAAATGGAGCTTTGACCCCTCACGGGCACAAGGTGATCTGGGAGCCCTCGTTCCAGACCAGGAACCAGGGATGGACGCTCTCCCCATGGAAAGAGGCTGCCGGGAAAGCAAAGATGAGGGACCTCGTATCGGCATCAAAAAACGCCACTTGTCCCCCCTCGTAGTCCAGGGAGACCCGGACCCTCCTGGGGATCTGGTTCCGGGATAGCGCTGTGCGCTCCAGGGAGGTGAGAGCCCAAAACTGGCCCTCGCAGAGACCCATGGACCAGAGCTCAACCTCGGGGCTCGCGTTGCTCCGGTCCGTGCTCTTCGTGGGCTGCTTGGCCACCCCTAGAGCCCAGGAACCTTTGGGTTCCACCTCCACGTCCCAGCAGAGCCGTCCCGAGACGATTCCCTCGCGTCCCAACACGCAGGGGTCGGCGCTGAGGCCCACGTTGTCCGGATCTCCATGAGCGTCTTCCCATCTCACGCTGCTCCCGTCCGCGGACACCACGAGCTGGGGATGGGCCGTGCTGGGGTCCAAAGTCACCTTCGCTGCGAGAAGATGGACAGATGTCCTCAGGGCCCGTCCCCCTGCTCTATCCCACGGGATGATCCCCCTTCCTCCATTCTCAACATTGGGATGGGGACATTTGGACGCATCCAAGCATCGGAAGGCCGTTTGGCCAGATCAGAAGGACATTGAGGTCCAAGGGCAGTAGGAAAAGGGGCAGGAGGAAAGACCAAGCCCCATGGCAAGAGGAGGACACACCAGCATCAGATGGGGAGATTCCTCCTTTTTTTCTCTCTAGGGACCAAAACACACGTTTCCTTCCCCAAATGTCACATCTATGAGGGGTGACACAGAGGTCCTCACCCATCGGCTTCTCCTTCCCACGCTGGGAGAGAACTTACTCTTTTCAGGCAGCTCAAACATCAGGATGTCTAAAAAAGGGGAGAAAAGGGACACTGAGATGGTCAATATAACATGGGCCTGGAGAAGCATCATGTATCAAGGGTCCTTGCTTGAAAGTACCTTGAAAGTTCCTCAACGTCTCCTTCAGAGTGAGGGTCTTGTCCCTGAAGTGACTGATTTTCTTCTCCAGCTCCGGAAGAATCAACGGGGGCTGCTGGAAATTTCCCTTTTCGCACCTAGGAAAGGAAGGAGGAAAGAGGTGAGGATCCATCTGCTCAGAGGGAATTGCTCCAGCATGTGTCTAGCTGCTTTTTTTGGGGCACGGGATTTAAGCAGCATGTTAAAATGGGTGGAAATAGTTGTTTTAGGTCATAAAAAATTAGCATTTGGCGCCTCTAACCGATAACGCTCTGGGGCCTCGAGGTTTCCTTGCTCCAGCAGAGCAAGGAGGGAAGGTTTCTCCTATGGATGCTGGAGCTTGGGATGGGTTTTCCTTCATTGACTGCAGCTTTGGGCATTTGGTCCCTGCTTGGTGAACGTTCTCCTGCCCTTGGGCACAAGGTCCAAGTCCCCTTCCCAAGCCCGCGGTGGTGGCGGGAAGCCCCGTACCTGCTCAAGGTGCTCCTGATGTCCTGAAAGGGAGAGAAGGAAACGCCATGAATGGGGAATTTTGACCGCAAACCGTCTAGTTCAACCCCAAAAGCAGAAATGGGGCTTCGGAACCCACATTTGGCTGCATTGGGAAGCAACACCCAGAGCCAAAACATATCCAGGAGGCAGAGAGATCCAAGCAATTCCTCCCCTCCCGACATCCTCACCTGCAAAAATTCCCTTGCTGGTTCCTGGCACTTCTCCTCCATGTCCTGGATCAAGGTGTCCAGGCGGGAGATCTCCTTGGTGAGGCTGGTGACGTTTTCCTCCTGCATTTTCTCTATGTCTCTATCCAGTTGTCCCAGATGGGCCAGGAGATGCCGCGCTTGGTCCTCCAGGAAGAGACGCAACCGCTGGAATTCCGACAGAATTTGGCGCCGCTCCGCTTCGGTCTTCTCCTATTCACAGGAAGGGAAGAGGAAGGAGCAACCAAATCCCTTGGAAGACTCCAGACTCTTCCTGTTATTTTCCTGATGCCATTTAGCAGAAAAATCACACAAATTCTTGGCTTGGCACCTCCAAAGGGTCCCATTTGTGGCAGAGCAACCCGTGCTCCTGCATCCCAACCTCATCCCGAGGTGACATCCCGTTCGTACCAGGTATTCCCAGTTCCTTCCCATTTCAGCCTCTCGCAGGGCCAGCAGTTGGTCTCGCTCTTCCTTCAGGACCTGCACCCGGGCCTGGATTTGTCCCTGCGGGAAGGAAAAGGACCTTTTGCCATCGGAATGGGGGACCAAGTGGCTTCTTGGAGGTTGGGGACATCTGCAGATGATTCAGCAAATGCCGATGGGAAGGATTCCCTCCATAGGGAATCCTTGGACTAGACATTGGGCACCAAAACAGCGGAAAATCCATCGCGCTCCCTGCTCTGCTACTTCCCAAGGGACAACTCGGCTTTGGGGACAAGGAGCCGGGATGAGGTTCCAGGGATTGCGCTGCCTTGAGGACCCCACTGGAGGGTAATGAGGGTCCCGTCGCATCCCACCGGGAATGCTCAGACAGGGATGAGCATGGAAATATCCCCCTCACCTTGTATTCCTCGGCAGCCTCCATTGCGGGAATCACGGCGTGCGCCCGGTGCGCCCGCGATTCCCGGCACACTCCGCACAGCAGGGCCGCGTCCTCCTTGCAGAAAACCCGGAGAGGCTCCCGGTGCCTGGAGCATCCGCCCGGCTCCGCCGCATCCTCCCGGGATACCTCCAGGCTCATCCTCTTGGCCACCTCCAGCACCCGCGCCAGCTCCCGGTTGGGACGGAAGCTCCGCTCCGGAGCCGTTTCCCGGCACCGCGGGCACGGGAAGTCGCCCGTGGACCATTCCCAGCAGCGGGAGATGCAGCCGCGGCAGAAGTTGTGGCCGCAGTGGATGGACACGGGATCCCGGAAATATTCCAGGCAGATGGAGCAGGAGGCTTCGCTCCGTAGGTTTTCATCCGGGCTCCGCGCGGCCATGGGGGGCCCCCGGTGCCGCTTTCCTTTTCCTCTGACGCCGGGTCAGGAAAAGGCGTTTCCGTCCCCAGCGCTCCGCATGGGCCGAGCCCTCCGAGAGGGCCCTGGAGGTCCAAAACCCTCCCAAAATATCCAAATATCCCTTTATTCCCCCCAAAAAACCTGGCATCCACCACTCAACAAGGGAAGAGTCACCCCACTGAGTCCAGGGGGAAACTGGGAGCAAAAACCTGGAGAAAAAGACATGGATAAAAAGCAGAGTCCATGGAAGAGGGAAGTCGAATGGGAAATCCAGGTGGGAATTGCCTATTGCAAGGAATGAGGCGCCTAATTCTGCTTTTCTTGCAAAAAATCCAGGTGTTTCTTCACCCAAAAAGCAGCCGCCAGCTCCCTCTTGAGACCGGTCCTGCATCATGCTCTTTATGGGCAAATTAAAGGCTAATTTGCAAAGGAAGTAACATTTTTGGGGCTGCTTCGTTCTCCAGCCCATTTTCTACCTAGATTACTATACTAGAAAGTCAAAATTAGGGAAAAAAAAAACTTTGGGGGAAAATCTTAGTAAAACAAACCTCAAATAGAAAGAAGAAGAGAAAACAAGCAGAAGTTGGGGCTAAAAACCCAGGGTTGAGCTTAAATAGAGCCCAGGACATGGGCAAGGTGTGGGGAAGACCCAGATGGGGCTGTTCAAGGTGATTTAACACTCATTAACAGCCTCATTTTACTGGAGAAGTCCTTGATTTTCTGATCCTGTGGGAGGAAGAAGAGGAATAGCCCCCATGCAAGAATCAGTGATGCCCCTTTGGGGTATCCTTGTTGCTCCATGCATTTTTCCTGGCTTATTCCTCGCTCCGGCTGCTCGTTAATGCTGAATTATCCAAAAAAAATGCAAGTGCAAAATTGTATTTGCACGTTGAGCTCTTTGCACCGGAAAGTAGCAGCACCCCAAGGAGCTCATAAGCAAATAAGATGCAATCAGAAAATGCGTCACCTCCTTGCTCATCTTGATCCCAATGCAAATTGGCCCCATTTGCACTTAAAAAACACCAGGGGCAGCAACACAGTGAGTGATTTCCTTTTATTTTTTGCTCCTGCAGCTTGGATGAATTAAGGGTTTTTTTGGTGGGGAAGAGAAAGGAAAAATCCCATTGCGCATCCTGGTGTTGTCCCGTTTATGGGGAGTTTGGGGGAGAAGCAAGGCGAGCATAGCCCCAAGCCTGTAAAAATGCAAAAGAAACAGCGTTCTGCTTAAAAAAGAGAAGCGAAAGCAGCAATAAAAGTATTTATAGGCCCGCGTCCCGCCCAGGGCTGATGCGGAAGCCGGCGGTTGCGGTCGCGTCGCCCGCGGCTCAAATTAGCAGCAGGGGTTGACGATGGGGAGGGAGAATAATTTGCAGTTTGGCTGTTTTTAATTGCAATTAATAATTTGGAGGTTGCAAAGGTGGGGAGTGGGAAAAGGTGTGGGGTTAAGGGATAAATTGGGGGATAAATTGGGGATAAATTGGGAGTGTTCCGGGCGCTCGCGGCTCCCGTTATCCCGCCATGGCCGAGAGCTTCCGCGCCGAAGCCTCCTGCCCCATCTGCCTGGGGCTGTTCCAGGATCCCGTGTCCATCCATTGCGGCCACAACTTCTGCCGCGGCTGCATCTCCCGGCGCTGGGAAGGCGCCGGGAGCCCCTTCTCCTGCCCGCGGTGCCGGGAAACGGCTCCGCACGGGAATCTGCGGCCCAACCGGGAGCTGGCCAAGGTCATCGCGGTGGCCCAGCGGCTGAGCCTCCGCGGGAACGGCCACCGGCAATGCGGGAAGCACCGGGAAGCGCTGAAGCTCTTCTGCGAGCGGGAGCGGGTGCCCATCTGCTTGGAATGCAGGGAATCGCCGGGACACCGGGATCACGCCGTGGTCCCCATCGAGGAGGCGGCCGAGGAGTACAAGGTAGGAGGAGATCCGAGGTTTCCTTGCTCCGGGTTTCCTTGGTTTTCCAGCTTGGAAATGTTGATCCTGGAATTATTTAGGAGCATCCTTTGATTCAGGCTGGAAGGGACCTCAGGAGGTCACATGGACCAACTTCTTGGTTAAACCAGGGCCATTTGGGGTCCAGAATTTCCACAGGGACTTAAAGCCACTAGTCTGCTCCACTCCTTGGCTTGAGCCTTTCTCCTCTCCCTGGAACATCAGGAATTTTCCCCAGCAATGGGGAAAAATTCCAGGTTATCCCATTAATAAGCAAAGGGGAATCCAGGGAAGTGGGTCCAGCCGGGTGGGATGAACGGGATGGAGGGGGGAAAATGCATCCATGCGATGGTCCTTCCCTGCAGGAGAAGCTCCAGGCCCATGTGCAAGTCCTGAAGGACAGGAGGGAAAAACTGCTGGGACTGAAAGCATCCGAGGAAGGGAAAAGCCTGGATCTCCTCGTAAGCATCTGGATCTCTGTTCTCCGTGGCTTTCTCCCTGTTTTCTTGGAGTTATCCTGCATGGACACAGGGATTAATGGAAACGACTCGTGTTTCTGGGGTCTTCTGCTCCTCTGTGGGACTGAAAGCATCCGAGGAAGGGAAAAGCCTGGATCTCCTCGTAAGCATCTGGATCTCTGTTCTCCGTGGCTTTCTCCCTGTTTTCTTGGAGTTATCCTGCATGGACACAGGGATTAATGGACATGAGTTGTGTTTCTGGGGTCTTCTGCTCCTCTGGCACATGGGAATTGGGAATGCCCTGGGGTAGATGCAGAGATGCTCCCATTTCTCCCATGTCTCCTCACACATCTTGGCAGGCTGGGAATGTTCAGGATTCCCAGCAATGGGAGGCCTCTTTCCTGCCTTGTTTTCCTTTTCTCTGACCTTTTTCCCCAATTTATGATCCTGCTTCTCCGCCTCTCCCGCTGGTCAAAGGTCCGTGGCACCGGAGGTGCAAAGTTGACAGCCCACAAAATGCCCAGAAACAGCAAATTTGACCTAGAAAAGATGGAAAAATAAATAGTTTTGAGTGTTGCTCTGCACCAAAACCGCTTGCCCATAACATCTCCCAACCCATCTCCCATCCCATGTCCTGGACTTCCTGGCAGGAGCGGGTGGAAGCGGAGAGGCGGAAGGTCACGTCGGGAATTGCGGAGCTCCGGCAGCTCTTGGAGGACCAGGAGCGGCTCCTCCTGGAGCGGCTGGCGGAGCTGGATCGGGATATCGTGAGGAAGCGGGAGGAGAACGCGGAGCGGCTCTCCCAGGAGGTCGCATCCATCGGCAAGGACATTGCGGAGCTGGAAGGGAAGTGCCAGCAGCCGGCATGGGAATTCCTGCAGGTGGGAGCTTGGGGACCACCCTTGACCAAGAGCATCGCTGGTGCCACCAGCCGCGTGGTCATGTTGACCATCACGTTGGGTTTTCTGCTCTGAACTCACCTTCCTTCTCTCATCTTTCTCCTGTAGGACATCGGGAGCATCTTGAGCAGGTTTGTGGCTCCTTTATGCATCTTCCTTATGGTGATGGACACCCAAATCCCATCCTCTTATGACCCTCAGGCTCTAGGGACCATGAAGATGGGGTTGGGACCGAGTTTTCTCCTCATTCCAGGGCAAAGAGCTGGTTCCTTTGGCCCTGCTGTTGACACAGGGAGGGGACGTTTCCTCTGACCCATTTGATGGCGAATGAACCTCTGGGATGAGTCATGTCCCTCCTCGGAAAGCCAAGGCCCTGTAGGCATTAACTGGGGTGGAAACACAGGGAATGGGCGCTCTGGGCCAGCAAAAGCTCTTTGGGGAGGTCGTTAATGACTCCTTGGGGCCAAATCTTCACTAAAATCCTCTATGAAGTTGTTCTTGATATGAAAATTGCTCTGGGGACCCCAATGCTTATCAGAAAGCTCTCGTTTCTCCCCAGGATTGACGAGGAGGAGATCCCAAAGCCAGAGCTGGGAGAGAAACCCCTGGATTGCCTTGGGAAAAACGCCGCGCTCAAGGAGACGCTGCTGAAATTCCAAGGTACGGAGCCAGTCCGGAGCAGGGATGAGGTTGCACGGGGGGTTTTGCAGCAGGGCGAAGGCTGAGGATGAAGGGGGCATCCATAGGGGATGCCCATGGGGTGCTTCTAACGCCTCCATCTCTTGCCGTCCCCAGTGAGCGTCACCCTGGATCCGGACACGGCGCAAATTTGGGAAAGTGGCCGGGGAGGCCGGCGGCGACGCTTGGGCCATCGGGGTGGCCAAGGAGTCCGTGCGCAGGAAGGGCCGGCTCAGCGTCAACCCGGGCTCGGGCATCTGGGCCGTGGGGCAGTGCGGGAGCCGCTACCAGGCGCTCGCTGTCCCCAGCGTCCCCATCAAGCTGCTCGCTGTCCCCAAGGCCATCGGCGTCTACCTGGACTACGAGGCCGGGCGAGTGGCCTTCTTCGATGCCACCAACGGGGCGCCCATGTTCGCCTACCCGCCGGCCGCCTTCGGGGGCGAGCGGATGCTCCCGTTGCTCTGTTTGGGCAGGGGGTGCCGGTTCACGCTGTCCCCGTGACCATTTTGGGGACATCCCCGGCTCCAGCCACCCCAGGTCCTCTTGGATCAGTCCTTGGCACCTGCAAACGCAAAGAGGATTCCAAAGGGGATGGAGGACGCTCATATGGACTCTTCCCATTTTTTTTTGATGCCTGCAAACGCAAAGAGGATTCCAAAGGGGATGGAGGACGCTCATATGGACTCTTCCCATTTTTTTTTTTGGTGCAGAGGATGACCCCAAACAATTGCACCAATGTTGCTGGAAACACCCACTTTGTTCCACCTCTCGCAGTGACACGCAGGGATTATAACAGAGGAGCTGCCTCTTTTACTCTTTGCCGATGTGAGAGGGCAGAAAATAGACGAGAAATAGAACAAAACGCCCCTGAAATAGAGGAAAATGCCCCAAAATAGAGGGATTTTGGCTCAGCAGGAGGATGCAGAGTGCAATGAGTTGTGCACAGCCTCCCTGGTGGTCTAGTGGTTAGGATTCGGCGCTCTCACCGCCGCGGCCCGGGTTCGATTCCCGGTCAGGGAATCTCGTTTTATTCCTTCCTTTCTCTTTTCCCCTCCCATTTTTTTTCAAGGAATGCCTCTCATATTAAAAGATATAAAGAGTTTCCGAAAAAATGCTTGTTTTCCCGCTTCTTGCCTCCCTTTCCCTCTCATTCGCATCTTCCCAGTCCGCTTTGGGAGCAGTGTGGGATGAGGGGGTGTTTTTGTACCTGGAGCTGCTTTAAAAACAGGAATGAATGGGAAGAAAAAAGGGGGGAAAAAAACACGAATGTTTCTGCCCGGTTTCGAACCGGGGACCTTTCGCGTGTGAGGCGAACGTGATAACCACTACACTACAGAAACCAGGTTATGCCCAGTTTTCCTTCCCATCCCCTTCCTCAGATCCCAAATTATTCCCCCCCATCCCCAAAAAATCTAGAAAATGGATGCTGGATCCCAATGGAAAAAAAAAAAAGGGAAGAAAGAGAAAAGAAATAATAAAAAAGGCTTGTTTGGTATCTGAGCAGGGAGTTTAATATGGAGATGAAATGAGTCCCCTCTTAAAAGCTACATTTCTGCTCCATGGATAATCCTTGGAGCACGAGCTTGCATGAGAAATCCTTTTGTGGCCCAAAAATATGTGAAAAAAGTAAAATAACCAAAAAAAGCCACCTGTCAGGAGTGGGATTTGAACCCACGCCTCCATACGGAGACCAGAATTCCCCGGAGAAGGAAGGCAGAGCCTTGAGTCTGGCGCCTTAGACCACTCGGCCATCCTGACGGTGAGAAAAAACGCGCAGAAAAGGGAAAATATCCCCTCCGGCCGCGTTTTGGGGGTGATTATTTCACTGCTGCATTTGCAGCGGCTGGGACAGAAGATTTCGAGCTGGAAAGGAGGGAATTTCTCCTGGCTACTCCATGGGAACATGAGAAGGGGAGGGGAAAAAGAACCACCCGCCCAACGTGGGGCTCGAACCCACGACCCTGAGATTAAGAGTCTCATGCTCTACCGACTGAGCTAGCCGGGCTGCTTTTTTTCCCCAATTTCATCCCTTTTCCTACGGGAATGAAATTAGGGAATATGGGGATGAAATTATGAAGCATTAGCTTCAGTCATTTTCCTTCTGCTTTGGAGACTTTAAGTGCTGGAAATAGAGGGAAAATAGAAAATAGAAATAGCAGAAAGGACCTATATTTTTCTCATCGTGTTTTTTTACCCAGGGATCCGGGTAAATTTAAATTCTGGAATAAAAGTGAGTGGCCAAGGAGGGGGAAATGCATTCACAGGTGGTTTCTGTAGTGTAGTGGTTATCACGTTCGCCTCACACGCGAAAGGCCCCCGGTTCGAAACCGGGCAGAAACACTCCTGGAAAAGAAATATTTTTTTGCCATTTTTTTAGGGGGAGATTTGTAAAACAGCGTTTTACAATGTTAATTAGCCGGAAGGGCAAATAACCGCTGGGGAAATGTCGTTTTTTGTAGCAATAACTCGGGACTTCTCATGTCCCATGGGTGCTTTTGGATCTAAGCGGTCAATTTTCTGGCAGAAGTAAATCAAAATTATTAAAACAGAGTAAAACACTGGTGAATTTTGAGGGGGGAAAAAAACATTTTTTCCCTGACCGGGAATCGAACCCGGGCCGCGGCGGTGAAAGCGCCGAATCCTAGCCACTAGACCACCAGGGAGGGCGGTTTGGGGGTATTTCTGGCAATCTCATCTTTTATTTTTGCACATTTTGGGGCTTTTCTTGCAAAGCGCAAGCAGAAGGGCTGGGTTAGCGCCGGCTTCGTCCGCCTGGCTCTCAGCAAAGTCCCAAAGAGAGAGAAAATCCGCCGGGTTTCAAGGCGAAAAATAGAAAATCTGCATTTTTATTAGCAGCGCCGACCTATTTCTAGAATTATTTGCCCCTTAAAGCTGCCGCTTTTGGGGGCCAAAGCAGCCACATCGGGGTCAGGCTCGCCCACATTATACCCTGATTAGCAAAAACTGAACTTTTCTTCTGCACAAGCAGAAATAACTACGAATTTGCCCCAAAATCCTCCCTGGTGGTCTAGTGGTTAGGATCCGGCGCTTTCACCGCCGTGGCCCGGGTTCGATTCCCGGCCAGGGAATGGTTTTTCTTCCAAAAAAACGGGAAAAAAATCAATATAATAATATTTTTCCCTCCGTTTCTTCCGGGCAGAGGGGGAGATCCAGCAGGATTTCTCTGCATGGAGATATTGGCCCATCCTGGAGGCTTAGGGGCTTTGGAGAGCCCTGCATCAATCCCCTCCAAAGAATCTCCTTGCTTTTGGTTGTATCCAGGTGGGATTTGGGAATTTTGGGGGATTTAGCTGGATTTTGCATCCAATAAAGTACCTGCATGTGGTTTCTGTAGTGTAGTGGTTATCACGTTCGCCTAACACGCGAAAGGTCCCCGGTTCGAAACCGGGCAGAAACAAAACTGTAAATTCCATTTTTTCCCCCTTTTCTCCTGACTTTTTCCTTTCCACTTCCTTCAGAAAACTGTATTTCAAATGCAGAGCAGTGGGGATGAAATTCAAAGCAGAAAAGCCCTGGCTCCGTTCCCTTCCAGCACGGCAAACCTTTCCCTTTTCGACAGTATAATGATAAAATAAAAGGCTTTAATTTTCCACCATGCAGATGGAGAAAAAATAAACTTGTTTCTGCCCGGTTTCGAACCGGGGACCTTTCGCGTGTGAGGCGAACGTGATAACCACTACACTACAGAAACGCAGTGTACCCAATTCTCTGCACCTGCTCTGCAGGAGGATGGAACAAAATCCATGGAGACTTTGGAATAAAAGACCTGGAGACCCTGGAGCAAAAGCCCTACAGATCTTAGGGAAAAAGCACTGGAAACCCTGGAGCAAAAGCCCAGCAGATTTTGGAGCAGATGTTCCAAAGACCTTGGAGCAAACGCCTTGGAGACCTTGGAGCAAACGTTCCAGAGACCTTGAAGATCTTGGAGCAAATGTCCCGGAGATCTTGGAGGAAAAGCCCTGGAGATCTTGTAGCAAATGTCCCAGAGACCCTGGAGCAAACGTCCCAGAGATCTTGGAGCAAATGTCCCAGAGATCTTGGAAGAAAAACCCTGGAGATGTTGGAACAAATGTCGCACAGATCCTGGAGATCTTGGAAGAGACATCCTGGACTCCTTGGAGCAAATGCTTTGGAGATCTTGGAGCAAATGTCCCAGAGATCCTGGAGGAAAAGCCCTGGAGATCCTCCCCTTTGCAGGCTCCATGCAGGACATAAGAATCCACCAAGTTTCTGTAGTGTAGTGGTTATCACGTTCGCCTCACACGCGAAAGGTCCCCGGTTCGAAACCGGGCAGAAACAACCTTATGCTTTTTACCATCCCCACCCAGTAGGAAAGAAGATGTTGGGACATTTTTCAACCTTTGATCCTCTTCTTGGATCCCTCATTCCCACCAAACACGTCCAAAAAAGGGAAGAGTTGCAGGTTTCTGTAGTGTAGTGGTTATCACGTTCGCCTAACACGCGAAAGGTCCCTGGTTCGAAACCAGGCAGAAACAAGGCTTTTTGGGGTCCTCTCCATCAATAGACATCATTGGGCAACCATCTTCTCAATCCTGCATCCATTTGTCCTCCTATGGCCCGTCCAAGTAGGAAAACACATCCTCAGCTTATGGAGATATTAGATTGGAGAAACTGGCATGTCTATCCTTGGAGATACTCAACCAGATAAGGTCCCCACACAAGGGCAGAAAGCTCTGGAGATGCCTCCAACCTAAACTGTGAAGCTGTCCCATGCCCAACAGCAGGTTTTATGGGTGCTGCTGGTGCTAATTGGTGTTAATTGCCCCAAACAGCCCCATCTGAGCCCCACATCATCATCCTGCCCACATTCCAGGGCTCTATTTAAGCTCAGCCCTAAGGGCTCAGCCTTTTCCCAGCTCTGTTGCAGGTCCTTGGGTCTCCCATCAAGTTTCTCTCTCAGGGCTGAGCTTCATCCCATCATTTCACCCACCTGTTTGGGATCCAGTTCATCCCAGCTCTTACCGAGGATCCAGTTTATCTTCAGGATCAAACCCAAGGGGTGAGTGGTTGGTTTTGAAAATAAGCTACAAAATACAACTTGGGTGAGAGGGGGCAGCTTTGTGGTCACGCATTGCTGCTCCTTCATGGATTTATTTGTTTGCTGGCTATGACCTGGAAAAGCAGCCAAAAATCCCCAGCTCCACGTTCAATAAACTCCCTGGAGCACAAAACAGTGCTGGAAAAAACAGCATCTTCCCCCTCTACATCTCTGCTGACCTACATTGCTGGGCAGCTTTGGTTAAAGCCCCTATCCCTGCTGCTATTCCCGGTTTTTTTTAGGGACTTGGATATAAGGATGGGGAAATTTCAGCATTGTTTTTTTCAGCTGACCTGTTTTCTCTCTCCTGCAGAAAAATTATTTTTCACTGCAGAAAAGTGCTAATGTGGCATTAAATATAATGAGCAGAGCTGGATGGACCCCTTTGCAGTGCGATTAGGACCAAGAGGGAGCCCCTTTTTCCCTATGGCTGCTCCAGGAGGATTCCAAAATGTTGGAGAAACCACCAAAAAGCAAATGAGCCCCAGGACAGGGTGACCCAGGAGGGTTTTACCCTCGCTGGGGATGTCTCTTTTTGCAAGGAAAGTGCCTTTGAATTAAATCCCGCCTTTTTTTATTCTCCCACCCCAAGGGATCTCCAAATTTGGGATTGTATCCAGAAAACAGGATTTCTATCGCTCCCTGGTGGTCTAGTGGTTAGGATTCGGCGCTCTCACCGCCGCGGCCCGGGTTCGATTCCCGGTCAGGGAAGGCGAATTTTTAAAACTTTCCCATCTTATCATTTTTATTATTATGCTTTTCCCTCCTCATAAAAAAGCGGGACATCGTGTTTTCCCCAGGGCTGGCCGTGGAAACGCGCCCCGGGGCAACAGGAGTTCGTGCTACAGCTGCAACGAGTTTTGCCAGGTCGCAGCTGCCCCCATTTCTCTCCTTCCCACCGAATTCCCACTTTATTCCCCCAGGATTGGAGCCTCAGGGCTTCCCTATCCGTATAACACCACGAGCCCGGCTAGCTCAGTCGGTAGAGCATGAGACTCTTAATCTCAGGGTCGTGGGTTCGAGCCCCACGTTGGGCGCTTCTTTTCCTTATTTTTTTTAATGGGAAAAAAAATGCAAAATGTGCCCCAAAAAAGGGACCTTCCCCGCTCTGCTCAGTGCTCCCCCCTTAAGCCTAGCAGGGGATTTTTCTCCTGCCTCAAGCCTTTGCATTTTCATTTATTGGCCCTGACTTTGCCTTGTCATTATTGCTGCTTTTTGCAGCAATATTGCCCTTTTTATTGCTTTTTTTGCCGAAATAACAGCATTATTAATATTTTTCTGGTGATTTTTTTTTTTACCCTACAGAGCAAATTCGGCAAGTCCTTCCATGCTCTCTAAGCTTCCCAAATGATGGATGTCTCCGTGTCCCAAAAGGACCGGCCGGCCTCGCTCCAGATGTTTGCCCAGGTGTGCAGGGAATTATTGTTCCAGCCGAACAATGTCCCAAAGCTCCCGAGGTCGTTCAGCCCCTCGGTCCCCACCGGAGAGCAGCTATAAAAGCAGCGGCACCTCCCAGCTGGGTGGATGCTCCAATCGCAAGCGGGAAGCAGAGCCTGGTAAGATCCCCTTTCTGCTTTTCCTTGGAATTTTCGGGCTGGAAAAGGCTTTTTCTTCCCTTTCCCCTCCGTTGTGCATCTCCCTCCTGCTGCAGGGATTTGCACCGTCCGAATGCAACCGCGTGCATCAGCTTCCACTTTTTTATATCTGTTTTTATATTAATAAACTTTTTTAATTGGAGGGGTAAAAAGTTTATCCTGGGGGGGGAAAAAATCAATTTTCCAGCCCCCTCGAGGAAGAGCCCAATTAATTATTTCCTATGGGAGCCCGGCTAGCTCAGTCGGTAGAGCATGAGACTCTTAATCTCAGGGTCGTGGGTTCGAGCCCCACGTTGGGCGCTATGTTTTTTTCGCTCCCTCCTTTCCATTTTTCCCCCTCTCATTTCCTGCATAACCCTCTATCCAAAGTTGTCCACCTCTGGATACGGAAAACTGCTGGCAGAACGAGTTTTCCAAGACTTTCCAAGCCTCTTTCTGTGGATGTGAGGAGCATCTGAATCCCAGTTGTTCCTAAGCAAAAGGGGGAAGCAGCTGAGAAAAGGGAAGATTTTCCTTTTCCCTTGCAGAATTATTGCATTTTTGCTTAGGAGCTTTAGTTTTCTTCCTTTTCCACCTTTTTTTACTCCATTTCTGCTGTTTTAAGTGTGCCCTAAGCAATATATTTCAGTTTCCTCTGCTTTTTCCTTAAGTTGTCCTGTGGGATTTTGCCTTGCTGCCTCTTCCCCCCTTGCCAGAGCACGGATGAAACTCGTTACGAGGATTAATGATGCTCCTGAGCTGTTTCCATTTGCAGGTTTGGCCTCTCTGGTCTGTGCTGCGGAGTTGGGTGGTCACCCCCTGTCCCCGTTGGCCACCATGAAGGTCCTTTTCGTGGTGGTGGCTGCGGTTCTGTGCATTGGGGTTGGTAAGTGGAAGCTCACGGGGGTCCGTGGGATGCGATGAAGGGCAGAACCCCCTGGAAATGGTCGTTTTTGGCCATTTCTCCCCACTGGTTTGCCAAGGAGGTGTTAAAGGAGATGCCACCTTCAAGTTGGCCATCTCTTGAGCTGTAGGTCACTGGATTGTGGGGTAGATGCATGTGTAGTTGCACCCAGGGCTGTTGTGATGGTCTTGCTGTGGATAACTTGGCTTCAGCTGCAGGAATCACTTCCCAGAGCCCATTTCCACACATTTCCATGGGTTGGAGGTTGGGTCTAGGGTCTCTCCACCCACATTTGGAAGTTCTGCCAGGACATTGGGTCCATGGGCATCATCTGCTCTATCCTATGGACTGGGGTGAGGGAAATGCTCCATCCCTTCCCAGGAGGGCTCAAAACCTTCCCTGGAGTCTCCCCAGTCTTGTAGCACATTCAAAGCCATAGAAGGGAGCCCGGACCTCATGGCATCTTCTCTTTCTGCTCCAGTTGAGGCTCTTTATTGCAAGGTCTGCAAGTACAAACTCCCCTTCATCGGCTGCTTCCAGGGAGCCAACGAGACCATGTGTGAGCCCAGGGAGAAGTGCGTCATCATCAAGACGTCCTTGGGTGCGTATGGCTCCAAAATGGGCATCTTGCTCCATCTGGGGCTTATGGATCTCTTGCGGAAGACCAAACGCATTAGCAGGACCAATGGGGAAGCAAGGAGACCTCCCTATGTAGACTTGACTTCTACTTAAAGGAGGTGTTTTCCATGGAGGGATTAGCCCTGTGGTAACCTCAAATTTTGCACAAATTCCAACATTTTGTTGTTTCAACACCACCTTTTTGCCCCATGGTGCATCTCCCCATGCTCATTCCTCAGCATCTGGAGGCACCTCTGGATGCTGGAGAGCCCCTGGATTCCCCTGAGGGGGGTATCTGCAAGGTGGCATCACCTTGTGCTTGTCCCCCTTATAGGGAAGGTGACGCTTTACTACCAACAAGGCTGCACGTCGGTGATGAACTGCGGCCGCCAACGCGCGTCGGACACCGAGTCCCGCCTGACGTCCCTCTACGCCTGCTGCGAGACCGACTTGTGCAACGAGGAATGGGATGGAAGCCTGGATGACTAACAGGGAGGACGCCCAGAGCTCCAGATCCAATTTCCCAAGGGTGTTTTTGCTTTTTATGGGTTTTTTGGGGGGTTTCTTGGCTCACTTGGGACGGCTGGACCCTCTCTGTCAATAAACCCACAGTGGAATTTGGCTCCTCTTTGTGTTTTTGGCTCTCTGGACATGGGTATTAATAACTCGGCGCATGTCCTGGTCCTTGGGGTGTCTCGAGCGGCTTCTAAACCTGATCCTGTGTTAAGCCCCCAAGGACGGGCCAAGGTGGCTCGTCCCTATTTGTGTCCCCTGTGGTCCCCTGTGCCTTGTGGTGACATCTACCACTGGGTGAAAGGGAGTATTTGGGGAAGAGCAGATGCTAAGAGAAATCAAGGGCATTTTCCCAAGAAATTTGTCCCATGTTATCTCCAATAACTGATGTGGATCCTAGCGAGCATCAGGAGGCAGATTTGATTGTTTGGCACCAGACAGGAGGATTCCTTATGGGAATCCCAGGGAAGTCTGGGATTGTCTCTAAATCAAGGTGAAAAAGCTCATTTTGGACCCTAAACACCAAGTTTGTCTCCCAAAACAGCACCTTGCTTATTCATAGGTGCAAGTCTGGGATCATTAGGGGTGGATTTCCCTAAATCCCTAAACTGGGATATGGGCTTTGCAGCCACGTGTGCTCTGCTCCTCCTGCTGCTTTTTACGGCCCCGTTCAGCCCTTGGCATCTGCCCAGATCATCCGATCCCGCGCCCGAAACGCGGAGGCTCAAATGGGTCTTTAACGAGAGCTCGGATGTTCCCTGGATCGGAGCCTGGAGCAGCTGTCGGACACAAGCCTGGGGCTCAAATCTTGCGTTTAGTGCCAGGACGTCTGAAAAAAGCAACAGGTTCTGGCTCTGGGGTTGGGATTGTATCCCAAGTGGCTCCCTATCCAAAAAATCAAGCGGAGAGCAGCCCTGGGTGCTGGATTTGCAGGAGAAGCAGAGGGCAGGGAGCTCTTCCTCGCCTTCCTCCTCATCCTCCCGATGTTCTGGCTTTGCCAAAGGTCTTTGCTGGCAGTTTAAAGGAATTGGGCTCTGCACGAGTGACCTCGGACGTGTTCCGGGAACGGCGCCGCCTCCCCAGGGCTGTGTTCCAAGCGCTCCGTGTCTGAGCAAACCCAGCCCTTTCCCGTCGGAGAGGAGCCATGGCCGCCGTCTTCCTCCCGGGCAACCTCCAGGACGAAGCCACTTGCTCCGTGTGCCTGGAATTCTTCAAGGACCCCGTGTCCATCGAGTGCGGCCACAACTTCTGCCGCGCCTGCATCACCAAGAGCTGGAAGGACCTGGAGCTCGACTTCCCTTGCCCGCAATGCCGGGAGGTTTTCCAGCACAAGAGCTTCCGACCCAACCGTCAACTGGCCAACGTGGCCGAGATCGTGAGCCAGTTTGCGCTGCGCGGGGCCAAGGGCGCCGAGGAGGACGGGCTCTGCGCCAAGCACCGCGAAGCCCTCAAGCTCTACTGCAAGGACGACCGCAGGACCATCTGCGTCGTGTGCGACCGCTCCCGCGAGCACCGGCCGCACGCCGTGGTGCCCATCGATGAGGCCACCGAGGAGTACAAGGTACCCATCTATCCATCCATCCGTTCTGGGGATGGTTCCCTTTGTAGGATGGATCCCCTTGTTGGTCTTGTAGGCGTTGGGGGACGTGTGGGGCTGTAGATCTGTGCGTCCGTCCATCTGCATTGGGGAACTGGAGCATGGATCCCTTTGGGGTCTTGTAGACATTGGGAGATGTGGGACTGTAGACAAGTGCATCCGGGTGAGCCATCCGTCCATCCATGCTGGAGAACAGGAGCATGGATCCCTTTGGGGTCTTCTAGATGTTGGGGGACATGTGAGGCTATAGACAAGTGCATCCAGGTGAGCCATCCATCCATCCATCCATGCTGGAGAACCGGAGCATGGATCCCTTGGAGGGTCTTGTAGACATTGGGAGACATGTGGGGCTGTAGACAAGTGCATCCGGGTGAGCCATCCATCCATCCATGCTGGAGAACAGGATCATGGATCCCTTTGGGGTCTTGTGGGACATGTGGGGCTGTAGACACACACGTAGGCGAGAGCTGTTGCAAGAGCATCCCTGAATTGTCCTTGCTTTGTCTTTGCTTGCTTGGAAAAACCAACTGTGTGCAGAATAATGCCCCAAAAAGGGGTAAAATAATAAAAAATAATTTATAAAGTGTAATCATGTTTTCCCCTCTTTGGTCCTAGGAGAAAATCCAGGGTCGCCTGGATTTCCTGAAGAAGGAGAGACAAGATTTGCTGGAGTTTAAGGTGAACGATGACAAGAAGACACAGGAGCTGCTGGTGCGTGGCTGCCATCCTGGGGATGCCGTTGGGTCCCACCAAGCTGTCCCCATTCCTTCATTGTCCCTTGAATCCCTGTGCTCGGCATTACGGAATGTCACATAAGAACAACCAACTTCTTGCTGCTTTCTTTGCAGAAAACCATCGAGACGGAGCGGCAGAGGCTGCTCTCCGAGTTCGAGGGGCTGCGGCAGTTCCTGCACGACCAGGAGCATCTCCTGCTGGGCCAGCTGGAGAAGATGGAGAAGGGCATCGCCAAGAGGCAGAACGAGAACATCACGGACCTCTCCAAGGAGATCACTCTCCTCAACAAACTCATCACGGAGCTGGAGGAGAAGATCCAGCAGCCCATGCTGGACTTCCTCAAGGTGAGGTCTTGGGCAATGACATGAGCTTCCAAGTTTGAAGGTCTTCAGGACCTTTCCGTGCTCTGTTTAATAAAACACAGCAGCTCCCTGGGGCTTGGGAAGGTCCCGACGCGTCTTTTAGTCTTGAATAGCAATAGATTTTTCTTCCATGGATTTTCCTGGGCCTTTCCAGTGCACAGATTCCTGCCTTGAGGAGCCTCAAAGCTCCATGAGATGTTGCAGGAAGAGCCACCACAGCTCGATCCTTAAACCAAGCGACTCCTTTTGCAAATATGGACCTCGGTGGCTTTGCAATACCTAAAATTTGCCATGTGCCAAGTTGCATGGCTTGAAGGAGCGTATTTCCCTCTTGGAATAGGGCTTGGGAGGATCCAGCAATGGAATTGAGCGTAGAGCGTGTGGAGCTGGACCCAAATGGGCCAATTTTCTCCTGGCTCCGAAAGGTTGTCTGAGGACCTGAAAGCAGAGCTGGGTTTTTGAGTCTAAGTGAACTATTACCAAGCTGGAAAGTATGAGGGAGAGCAGATGGAGCTCAGGGATTGATTGCATGAGAAGGGAAGGAGCTGGAGAGCATCCAGCCTCCCGTGTCACCCATGGGATTTGCAAAAACAACCCCAAAACTGAGCAATCCGACCCCCTCCTCAGGCATAAACACCCCAAATTAATGGGTGATTCCCTGTTAATTGATTTTCTTTGGAGCAAAATGAGGGATCTGGCTCATGGTCTGCCCACATCTGCTCACCGAGGAAACGGTGGCGCTTTCCAGGTGGTTATTTTGGGAATGAAAAGGAGATTTTCCAGACTGCTGCCTTGAGCTCCAGGGGTCACTTCTAACCTGGAGTGATTGGGTCTTAAATGTGGTTTTGCCCAAAAAAGCCGCTTTTCCGCAGACTCTGCCTCTACCAGAGACCTGGCTGAGCAAGAACATTTTTGGGGCAAAATTCCCTCAAAGGGGTTAAATTCCCTCCTGGGCATCCCAAGGGCCAACGCAGCCCTGAAAACAGTCAATATTTGCCCAGCTCAAGCGGTGTGACGGGTTTAGCACTTGGCTATACGTGAGCATTGGGGGACACGTGACAATAAGGGACATTTTTCAGCTGGAAACGCACGCTGGAAATCCCTTCCCGTTCCCTAGGAGATGATGCCCTTTCCCTAATCCTTCCAAATGAACCAGAAAGGGTAAATAGTAACTCCGAGCGTTGGGATGTTGCACTGTAGCCGCGTGGTATCTGATTACAAAAGGTGTTTTTTAACCCATAATTTGCCTCAGGGCATCGTTTGCTCCATCCGGACACTGGGGTGGGATGCATCACACTGGGATTTCACTCATTTTCCCTTTTATTTTCCCCTTTCTAGGATGTAACGGCCACGTTAAGCAGGTACGGAGCGCTGCTTGTCCCCTTCTCCCACGTTTTTCCCAAATCAGCACCACGCAAGGTCAGTGCTTGCACCTTGGATCCTTGCAAATCCCAATTTGCTTCCAGCCTCTTGGAATTATCGCAAGTTATTTTGCACTATTGCAAAGTCTGGGATTTGCTTCCACACAGGGCAGTTACTTCAGGGGACATAGAGACCTTTGGGGACGCGGTGGCTGCAACCTGGGGACAAAAGCTGGGAGGTTTGGGGAGAGTTTGAGCCACAAAAGTGACATTTTCCTTATGGATTTGGGTTGTCCCCCTTTGTAGAAGTGACCAAGTGAAGTGTCAGAAACCCGTCCCGGTTTGCACGGATATGAAAATGCACGTGTGCAACTTTGCCCTCAAAAACGTCGTCCTCGAGAAAATCCTGAAGAAATTCCGAGGTGGGTGAAAACGGATTTAAAATAAGAATCCTCCTTTAGGAGGTGCCAGGAGGGGGTCAATGAGGATGTCATGGGTGTCCCCAGGCCCCTTAGTGCCTGCCAAGGTACCAAAATAAACCAAAATACCCCAAAACCAAAATAAACCCCATTGGAAAAGACTACGGAGGAGCGGAAAAACAGGGGATGAGAGATGCAATCAGCTGTATTTCGAGGGAGAAAACCCAAACAAGCCTGATTTCGATATGATAAAACACGCATTTTTTTCCGGTCTTGTATCAGATTTAAGCCCAAAGCCAAATTTTGGGTTTAAAACGTTGCATTTAAGAACTGTAGCAGTGCAGAAAAGCCACGAGATGGTGCTAGGAGACTGGGTGACTAAAAGCAGCGAATTGGAAATCTGCAGGGGCTCTGGTTTGGGTAAAGGGCTGAGCTAATAATTAACCTCCACACTAATTATATCAGGTGCAAAGGTACCTGTAAAGAAGTGTTTTTAATTTTTATTTTATTTATTTTTATTTTATTTATTTTTATTTTATTTATTTTTATTTTATTTATTTTTATTTTATTTATTTTTATTTTATTTATTTTTATTTTATTTATTTTTATTTTATTTTAATTAATTTTGATTTTCCCCTCGGTTTTCTCAACTTCTCCTCTTGGCTGCTTCCCGCCTGTCTCCTCCTTCCAGAAAACCTGCGGGACGAACTGGGAAAAGGTGAAAAAGGTAAAAGGGAAACGCTGGAGCCCCAGAGCAATGACTTTAAATTGTGGTTGGAATTGGCAAAGCCAAAGAGAGGGGGGGAAAAGGGAAAGAAAAAAAGAAAAAACAGGAGAAAAAGGTCACCTGGAGATGCATATATATGCATATATATCTATTATTTTTTAATTTCTTCTCTCTCGATGATTTCCAGATCCAGCCTGCTCCGTTCGAGAGCCAAAAGACGCTTTTTGTAGCTGACGCCGGGGACCTGTGGGTTAAGCCTGGTCCTTCCTGCTCGTTTGCACTTAACGAGGCTCGGAGGGAGCAGAGCCCTGGATCGGGTCCCATCGGATGCAAATCTTGGAATGCCCCGAGACCCACCTAAAGTTCTTACGTAGAGACTTTGCTAATGACAACCACAATTTAAGGTCGCTAATGAGCTGTTTCTCTTGAACCTGGCTTGGGAAGGGGGGAATCTATCTGGTATCCATCTCCTTTTGGACCACCCGGATGCCACCAGGTGGATAATGATGCCCTTAGGTCATGGTTTTCCATAAGGATTTGTTGATAAAGGCAAAAAAATACCCCCAAATGGATGCTTGGAGGTGGCTCATCCCATCCTATGTGTTGTGTGTTAGATGAGCCAGAAATACAAAAAATAGGGAAAAAAATCCACTTCCTTGGGGGAAAATAATAGACCTAAGGTCTATTTTTACTGTATATATTTGCTAACCATCCATGTGTGGTTTTATCATGTCCTTTGCCACTAATATCCCTGTGTGATTGATACTCTGGTTTCTAGCAGTGGTTTTGCCCTTCCTCTTTTCCCTACGGATCATTGGATCATAGAATTATTAGGGTTGGAAAAGAGCTTCAAGACCATCAAGTCCAACCACAACCCCGTCACCATGTCTACTAAAGGGAATGACTCCATTGGTGCAAGTTGCCCATCCCACATCCTTAGCTGGAACCTTCCTCATCCTCCTCCAAGGTTGTCACTCTTGTCCCTTGCGGGGATGGAGAGGAGGGAGGTTTGAACGATGTAAAATGAGACCATTGGGTCAAGGATGAGTGGAGACATCTTAGGACTGGTCCAAGAGGAGCAAGAATTGTTGAGGTTGGGATGTGATTTGGGAGCAGATATGAGAAAATAAATCCCTTTGACTTTGACAACTAGTCATTATTATCATTGCTGTCCTCAACAGAGGAGCTGACCCTGGATCCCGAGTCGGCCAACCACCTCCTCATCCTCTCGGCCGACCTCAAGAGCGTGCGGATGGGCTGTCGGAAGCAGGAGCTGCCCGACAACCCCAAGAGGTTCGACACCAACTCGCGGGTCTTGGCCACGCGCGGCTTCAAGTCGGGAAGACACTACTGGGAGGTGGAAGTGGGCGCCGCGGACGGCTGGGCCTTCGGCGTGGCCAGGGAGTCCGTGCGGAGGAAAGGCTTGACCCAGTTCTCCCCCGAGGAAGGGATTTGGGCCGTGCAGCAGAACGGAGGGCGCTACTGGGCCGTCACGTCGCCCCAACGCACCCCGCTCTGCCCCGGCCAGAAGCTCAGCAAGGTGCGGGTCTACCTGGATTACGAAGGGGAAGAGGTGTCCTTCTACGACGCCGACACCATGCAGCACATCTTCACCTTCAACGTGCGCTTCCAGGAGCGGGTCTTCCCCCTTTTCTCGGTCTGCTCCACCGTCACGTACATCAAACTGTGCCATTGAGATCCACCGGGAGCTTCTTGGAGGACCTTTCACCATTGGAGGCCTTTGTGGGGGTCTTCTGTACAATGGAGAAGAGCACAAGGGACTCTTGGTAGATCACCAGGTGGGTAGGGACATAGTGAGGGCAAAAACACCCTTATGGGGTCTTCATGTCAGCTTTAAACATGGAATCGATCAGCGATCCCTGTCTCTGAAGCAGTCGCACTCTCCTTCAGCAAGACGACCTTCATCGGTGCTTGATGGGGGATTTCAAGGCTGATAATAGGGGAAAATTGATGTTTTCTGGTGTGGGATCCATCCATCGTGAGGATGGAGGGATGTTCATGGCAAGTAGGAGCCACTTGGCTTTCGGTTGCCTTTTCCCATCGTCTTGAGTGCTCTGGGCTCCATCTCTCCATAGCCCCTCCGGGACATTGCTCCGGAAAAGGCTCCAAGGTGCTTTCCAAGCTCGGATCCGGCTCGGGGGTGCTTGTCCCACTGGATACGAGCAAGAACTTTCCACCAAACTATCCCTCGAACAGGTGAAACATTAGCAGGAGACCCGTGATTGCACCCAGGACCTGCTGGGAATTCTGCTCGCACAAATCCCACTTTTCCTGCAACGTCGGATATTGCACAAGCGGATCGGAAGCCTCCGAGGTTGTTACTTGGCCACATATTACCAATAAAATCTGCAGGTGCTACCTGAGCTCCTCTTTTATTTTTTATTAACAGCTGCTAAAATGCTGCAGATTTAAGTTGCTTTCCCTGGGCTGACTAAAGGGCCATCCAGATCACTAGCCTAAATAAGTGCCAATATCAAGGGTAAGAATATAGGTAGATGGCACATATATTCTCCTCTTTATATATTGCCCTCTATATATTGCTTTTTATATATTGCCCTCTATACATTGCTCTTTATATAGTCCATATATGTTCATATGGTCTTTATTCCACCCTTTTCCGCTTATGCCAAGCAGGGACCCAACAGTGTTAATGTCCCCGTGCGATGAAGGGAGAGCAAAGGGAATAAGTGGGATTATAGAGGCTCCTGCTTGTGACTTTTCCAGGCTCTTTCCAGCTTTTGCAAGGAAAAGGATGGGGGAAAAGAGCTGCGACTGCAGAGGTAATTTTTATCCCTCTGCAAAAAGAGCTGGAGTTGCCTTTTCCACACACACCCCCGGGGTGATTCCTGCTTATTTCCAAGGACAGGTTATGGAGGACCAAAATCCAGAGGAAAAAATCCCAGGAAAAGGCAGGAGGTGGCAGGGAAAGAAGGGAGAAGCACCACAGAGGATCTTTCCCAAAAGCAGGAATATGGGAGGCTCCATAGCTCAGGGGTTAGAGCACTGGTCTTGTAAACCAGGGGTCGCGAGTTCAAATCTCGCTGGGGCCTCGCAGCTTCTTTTCTATTTTTTTCTTTATTTCTTTCTTTTCCATGTTT